GCCACAGTGCTATCAGACATTAGAAACTTTTCAATGACATTAAGACCTTACAGAAACGTAAGAATATGTGGGCCATAATTGGCCAAATTATCTTCTTGTAGCAAAAGTCTCAAAATGTATATCAAATTCCATATACATGGATGTATGTGCATATTTTTGAATATAAAGACAACTGTATTTAAACTGTTATTCAATACTATCATTGGTTGTAAAAATCAATGAATATGTAAATTACATATTATTTTATGAAAATACACTGATGTGACATTAGTAACATTAATTCAATAAATATGTATTCACAAACAACAATATAAAATTCTTCTGAAGAATTTTTTTATTGATTGATGCTCAAATATTTTCTCTTTGAACAGAGAAAAGTGAGTAGTGGATAGATTGCAAACAAACATTCAAACTGACCAGGGAAAAGAGTATGAATAATTTTGGTTCATGTTAAGGTAGTTGTTGTCTATACATGTTGGGAGTTGTTAAAAATAACTCAGGTTTTAAGAGAATAGAAAACTTCATATAATATCATTGATGCTGCTGAAAGTAACTAGGTTACTTCTATATGTGATGCATAGCTGAAAACATTTCTAAATAAAATGATGTAAGACAATTGAGAGAAGAGAAGAGTTTCTCATATCACTATAGCTTCTATCTTCTTCTCACCAAGTTGGACTCCAATTATCCAACTGAGGTTTTCTCTTCCCTATTATTGTAAAGCTATGTTAAATGTTGAGCTCAAAAACAAGCAAACAAATACACACACACACACACACACACACACACACGCTAGCTAGTTGTAGCATAGGACTTTAGAACATGCTTCTTTCACCTGAAATTCTTCAAACTAAATATTTTTATTTTTAAAAGTTAAGTTTTAATGGTTGTAAAGGAAAGATAGTAAATGTGGGTTGGAACAAATGACTAACTATTTCACTTTAGAATACTTGCCTGCAGCCCTATCACGTTTGGCCCTAAAGCTGTAATTTCAGTCTTATTTTATGTTCTTGTGATTTCCTTTTAAGAAAAAGGGCTACACAGCTCTTTTCTCATTAGGCTCAAAGTAAGGGCAAGACTGTTTACCACTAAAGAACTTTGTTTTTCACATTCTGGGGGCTGTAATTGCAGAGCTAGGTTACAAATTAACACATGAAAGATGTATATTCCCATAAAATTCTCGTAATCATGTGATACCTTCAATTATTTATATGATATCTTAAAATTTGAAAGTGGTCTCAGTGATCTTTTTGAGGTTTTTATACTAGAAACACACACACACACACACACACACACACACACACACACAGAGAGACACAAATAGGTGTATTCTAGACTCAAAAAATAAACTAATTAATAATAGTAAATGATCAAAAGAGACTTGGGGGTGAAATAGGGCAAGTCTAGATTTGCTCAGTAGTGTTTCAGGTGTTTGGCACCCAGAGGACTCAGCCTTTCACAGTCATCCTGTATCTCTTTATCACGTTGCTTCTGTAGGGTGAGCATGATGCTATTCTCTGAGAGGATATTGTAATTAGCAGGGCAGGAAACAAAGTACCTGAGTCAGTGGAGCTGAAATTCTCCATTGTCTTTCAGACAGGGTACAGAAGAGAGAAGGCAGCAGAGTCCTGAGTTTTCAAGATGATCATAAGTGAAATTTCATTTTGATATCTTAGTGTTTGTGATTTAACTGAACATATAAATGTGGATTCTAGAATGCCAAAGACATAGAATGTGAACTACTGATTGAATTGTCTGTGAAGACAGCCTAGCGAAAAAGTGAAGGACATTCTGAGGATGCACATAAAGACCTGGGTAGTGAAAGACAAGGCAGAGATTGGAGGGCAAAATGAAAATCATTTAGATGCCAGAGACTAGTAGGACAGACTGGCAGATTTTGTATGTACTTGATGACAGCTCTAAGGGGTGGATCAATATCAGACATTGAAAAGCTCAGAAAACAGAAGGCCAGAAATTAACAGAGTATGATTTTCAGGAAAAAAAAATGTTTAAAGCTTTTCATGTGAATAAAGGAAAAATTATGTTCTAAAGGGAATTGTAAGATGGGAAAAATGACAGGGCCTTCTGGAAAATTGAATATTGGGCCATATTTTGTAAAAGGATAACTCAATCTGAAAAAGGGGAAGGGTTACTCTGTCTGGTGTTAAGTCATTGGAGTGTTCAAGTGGCAATCTGGCCAATCTTCATTTGGTTTCTGGAACAAAGCACAACTACTTCTGTGAATTTAACAACAGTGCCATTTAACAGTAGATGCCACTGTTATTGCCTTTGACAGAATCAGAGGGTTTAGCTTAATTGGTTTAATTCTCTCTGTGTGTATTTTAATTTATGCTGAGTGTAAAAAAAAGTGCTATAGTGTAAAATATTTTGCTTCTGTGATGTAAGTAAATTGCTGTGGCCGTTAACCAAGGAAGGAGGAGGGACACTCAGCAGGTGGCTCTTTCCAAGATGAAAAAACAAAACAAAACAAAACAAATGTTTTCCTGACCACACAAAGAATATTATCAAAGCTGGGCATCACAGAGATATAGGTTTATTTCTGTATTTGTACGAGAATATGGTGATATAAGTGCTACAGAAATAAAATGGAACTTGTTTACCTGGGAGATGAGGTACAATTATATGGAGAGTAATATTTTATCACAGGAAATTAATTTTGTACTTTCTGTAAATACCTCCAATCCCACCTTGTAAATACCTCCAATCCATTAATTATATTACTCATAATATTTATACGCAGCTAGGCTGAACTTTCTCTTAAATAATTGTGATTTTTTAAGGATAAAAGCTGTCCTGTCTTCTTTTTCCTTTAGTTTATTTTGAAGAACTATTTTGTTGAAACAGTCACTTTTACATCTGTGAAGGCAGAAAGGTCAAAAGAAGGATTCTGATATTTAAGAATTTTCAATGCAAAAATTTTGATAACATATAAGTGGAATACTGTCTCACATTAAGTAGGTAATACATTTATATAAAATTTAGATTTCTCATCAGCTATGAGTACGCACAGCTCACTGTGCATCAGTTACCTTCTTCAGACTCTTTTAAATCAACATCTTTGTTTTAAAAGATCAATATTTATGATTATATATAGGCAGTATACATTCCTTTAAAGAATCAGGGGAAGCATACAAAGAATAAAACAGAGAAAGCTACAGTTTACTACCCACTGATAAATACTATTCATACTTTCCATCCATCTTTATTTTGTTTATATATATCTATCTATATATAATTATGTTTAAAATGTATGTATATATAAACATGGATTAGACTTTGTACACTTAAATGCAACAAATGTATTTCAAATATTAACAGAAATGTATAGTGTAATATCATTCTGAGAACAGTGGGAGGCCTGAAAACAGGAGTTGAGTAAGTGAATCTCTTTGCTGAGACATGAGAACATTGGTAGGTGTTTCATGAATTATTACATTTGTTTTTGTTTTAGAAAACTGTGTGTATCATAACTTGGGATTTCACTTTTTTTTAGATTTATACTTTGAAGTTCTCATTTGGTATTGTTTCCTTGAGATATTTTCTGGGATGCAGCAGGCAGAAGTGGCATTCTTTATAGGATGACTTTCTGCTGCTTAGTCTCACTGTGCCATGTAGCTATCCTCTACATGATTTTCTTACTGTTCTTTGAATAGTCATGTAGCTAGAGTTTTCCTGCCTGACCCACAGTCAGGACAAATCTCTGTCACCTGCCAGTCCCACAGCTGCTCAGACCCAACCAAGTAAACACAGAGACTTATATTGTTTAAACTGTTTGACCTAATGGCTCTGGCTTCTAGCTATCTAGTTCTTACATCTTAAATTAATCCATTTTTATAAATCTATTCCTTGCCACGTGACTCGTTGCTTACCAGCATCTTCACATCTACTTGTCATGGCGGCAGCTGGCAGTGTCTCTCTCCATCTTCCTGTTCTCTCCTTTCTCCTCTCTGTTAGTTCCGCCTATATTTCCTGCCTGGCCACTGGCCAATCAGTGTTTTATTTATTGACCAATCCGAGCAATTTGACATAAAGACCATCCCACAGCACAGTCACACCAGTGATGGGAAATCAATACTCACTACATTGTATAACTGAGTGAATTAATGAATGAATGAGCAACAGGAAGATATATAAACAAGATGTTTGTTTATTTGAAAATTATCTTTTCATATTGATTGAAAGAGGGTTGCTTTGCAAATATCAGATGCAGTAATTCACCAACTGAAGTTGTTTAAGATTTAAAAGAAGGGTATCATGATAGCTATGTTCTAGAAGTGCTCTGGGAAGCTTACAATGGCCACTCTGCCTCAGTATAGCTGAAGTCTACTGAGAAGTACAGAGTTATGACGGGGAAGCGTGTATATACACAGGATATCAGTCCAGTAGAATTTAGGCCTATGACTGCTTCCAGTTAGTTTTGTGAACTTAGGAAATTAGTCACCCTCCACACATGGGTTTGTGGATCAGTAAGATTAGGCTGTTGGGCCAGATAATCCCTAAAGTTAGTTCCTGTCTTTATTTTTGAATAAGGAAGGATATTATAATGTAACAGATTAAGATTTTAATTCAGAACCTTAAATGACTAAAATTGAAAAATAAAACTGAATTAAGGTGCATGATAATTTTTCCATTTGCTGAAAGCATAAATTGTATGTAAACACACGGGCACTGAAACAAGAGCACCCAAGTTTAGGATGTTTTGGCTTTTATATTGTTTGCAACTTTTATTGGCTTTCAGTAATTTTAATAGAAAAATATCTCTCAATTATTATTCTTTTGTGATTAGGTAATGAGTTTTTTTAATTAGTTAATTTTATTAGGTAAATGAGTTTATTTTACATTCAGCCTCATTATTATCAATGAAGCAGAAAGCTCATGTTTGGGTGACATTTCCCACCCCTCTGTTCTTTGCATGTCACTCATTTTATTAAAAATATCAATTGGGCGCCTGGGTGGGTTGGGGCTGACGGCTGGCACCATGGCTGCGGGAGCTCCAGGAGCCAGAGAAGAAGACCTTTAAGCTCCTAGGAATTTTAGATGTTGAGAACATTCCATGTGCACGAGAATCTATACTCTATGGCTCATTAGGATCTGTTGTGGCTGGACTTGGACATTTCTTAGTGACCAGTAGAATTAGAAGATCATATGATGTTGGAGTAGGAGGATTTATCCTGGTGACTTTAGGATGCTGGTTCCATTGTAGGTATAATTTTGCTAAGCAAAGAATCCAAGAAAGAATTGCCAGAGAAGGAATTAAAAATAAGATTTTATATGAAAGCACCCACCTTGATCCTGAAAGAAAAATCAAGACCAATAACAGCAGCTGAGCAACCTTGAGCTTAGAAACCCAGAGAACTACTCCTTTGGATCAACCACAAATGTCTTATTGTATACAATAAAAATCTCTTAAATATGAAAAAAATATCAATTGGGATAGTCTCTAATTAAAGTACCCCAGCTTGAGGCTAAAAATTTCCCAAGCCACTACCTGTTGGGTTTCTGTTAACAACTGGATAGTATGATCACCTTATCTAAGAGAAGACCTATTTATCAAATATCTATCTCTTAAAGGCCTACTGCTTTATAGGGCTTTTGAAAATGAATTCTATTTCCTGATGTTAGGAGGAAAATGGAATTAAAAGCCTGTAGGTTTTACTTGCAGACGGAAACTCACAGGGATCTAAGTCCAGCACTTCAGCTTAGCATTATTTTCTTCCTTCCAGTGGTGGCAAAATAATGAACTTTCCCAGGCCCAGGAAAGCAGAGGCACTACAGTGGGGAGCTCTGAGCAGGAGAGGCTGGGAGCAGTTGGGACCAGAAAAATATCCTCAGAGACAGAAGAGCTGAGCACTCATTGGTGGGTATGAGTGTAGTGACAAAGGGTAAGAACAACCTTTTGGAATGTTTAAAAAGACACAAGATAGTCATGAAAAGCTAGGCCTGCAGGGCTGTGAAATTAAGATACTTGTATCTAAGTGTCTTCCCTGACTATTAGCTGAGTATGACTAACTTCTAAACTTTGCTGTGAAAAAGGTGTTATGCTGCTGTTTCCTGTTTGTAGTAAAATATTTCTGACATGAATTAGTCTGAAACTGGTCCTGCCAGAACTAAATGTCTTGAGAGCATCACTACGCCTATTCCATGAAGAAGAGAGCACAAGCTGGATGTAGCCAAGCTGGCTTAGCACAGCTGACTGAATCCATGAGGCATCTTGAAGAAAAGCTCTGTTTGAACAGTTTATCCCTGTTGGCTGGGAGAGATCCATTGACTGACATGTCTATAATTACAAATATTTTATGTATGCATGAAATTTATCTATGAAAGAACCAGAAAAAGGTGGCTGCTATTTCCAACTCACAGCCAAAGGCCTCTTTTGAAGCATTTGCTAATGTTATCTATGGAAGCCAGATTTAGATATATGTGGGCCTCAAAAGAAGGAACAAAGTAACACACAAAGGGCCAGAGATATAGGTACAGGTGAGCAAGAAAAATGTTAAAGCTGGACTTCTTTGAGGAACCTGTCTTAGATAGGGGTTCTATTACTGAGAAGGGATACCATGACCATGGCAACTCTTAAAAATTTGATTGGAGTGACTTACAGTTTAAGAAGTTTAATCCATTATCATCATAGCAGGACATGGAAGCATGCAGACAGACATGGCGTTGGAGAAAGAGTTGAGAGTTCTTCGTCTTGATCCACAGGCAACACGAAGTGAACTGTTTACCACACTGAGAGTAGCTTGAGCATAGGAGACCTCAAAGCCCATCCCCACAGTGACACACTTCTACAAGGTCACACCTACTCCAACAAAGCCATACCTCCTGATAGTGCCACTCCTTTTTGGGCCATTTTCTTTCAAAACACTACAGAACCTGAAGTTTTTTACTTTTGTTTTTATTTTATTTAAGGCCTCCTGTTGTGTTCTCTGCATAAAATTACAAGATTTCTACAGTTTACCCCCAACTCTGTACACACACACACACACACACACACACACACACACACACACACATACACATACACACATGCATACATGTGAATGAATACACACACATGCACACATACAAATGTATACAAACATTCATGCACAATCTAGGAAATAACTCTTGTTCCTTTATTATTCTCTCAAATGATAACTTTCAATTCTCTTCAAGTCCAAACTAGTTAAGGCAAATCCTTATCTAAGATGAAGTCTAAATTTCTGAGGAGGAAGGCTAACGGTCTACTACCATCCCTAAAGCTACATTAACAAGATATGAAAATGGAAAGGGGAGAAAGGACTTTCAGAATCAATATCTTTCATCTGATGATAGCCTTAGGCCCCAAATCTCATTTTGTAGAGCATCACATTTACCTTTAGTTTTATTTAGCTCAATTCTATGGCCATAAATCTTATGAAAACCATTTTATAAATTCAAGAAATTAAATTCTCCATGGATTGATTTCTGTGGAGCTCAGAAAAAAAATGTGTTCTTACAATCCACAGGAGAGCATAATGTTTCTGTTTCCACAACAGCAAAGAATAGCTGTGTTCTGCCCCTCTGTGCACCTTTTTCTCCTGAAATATTCAATAATAAAAATCCAAAGATATTCTAGTAATCAGGTATAACCAACGAGGTTATAGAAAATGATCACTTAGCCGGGCGGTGGTGGCGCACGCCTTTAATCCCAGCACTTGGGAGGCAGAGGCAGGCGGATCTCTGTGAGTTAGAGGCCAGCCTGGTCTCCAAAGCGAGTTCCAGGAAAGGCGCAAAGCCACAGAGAAACCCTGTCTCGAAAAAACCAAAAAAAAAAAAAAAAAAAAAAAAAAAAAGAAAAAAAGAAAATGATCACCAGACATTCTGGGCAGGGAGTAGATCATGCCGAAAGACAGGGGAAAGCAGTAATTAGAGATTGAATCAAATGAACAGCTGCTGTTTAAACAAATAATTGAGTAGATACAAAACAGGACTTCATTTTAAAAGGTGCTGAGGGCAGAGGTACTCTAAAGCTGTTCTTGGTAGTGGTTTACATGAGTGACTGCATAGTGCTCAGCCAAGTTATATGTTCCCATATGAGAGGAAGAGGGTGGATGAGACTGAATAACAATCTCTCAAATTTGTACACACCCTTTTCCCTGAAACCTATGAGCATGATAACTATTGGTAAAATGAACTTTATTAATGTAACCGTGTTAAAGTTCTTAAGATAGGCATTCTGGATTGAGCAACTGAGTCAAATGAAGCCATGAATGTACTTATAATGAAAGAAGCAATAGGATCAAAGTCAATAGCAGGGGATGTGACAACAGAACCAAGAAGGTGGAGTGACACAAAGAATGGTCCATGAGACACAGAATAATGATGCTCTTGGGAGGATTTTTCAGAAAGCAAGAACACATCAATCTCCCCTCATGGTTTTCAAAAGTCAAGGTCAATATCTTGATTTAGCCCAGTGAAACCGAATCAACACTCTGACCTCCCAGGACATTAAGAAAATAATTGCATTATTGTATAAGCAGCTAAGACTGTGAGACTCCTTTTACAGATTCTATGGGAAACTTGCACTGTAGATTACTAAAAAGAGAGACAGCTCCATGGTTAAGAGCACATACTGCTCTTTGGTTCTCATCAGCTATGGTAGACAGCTCACAATCTCTTGGAACTCCAGCTCCAGGGAATCAGATCACCTCTTCAGGCCCTCATGGGAAACTGCATTCATGTGCTTATACTTCCAAACAGACATAAGCATATACATATTTACTTAAAAATAAAAATAAAATAAAATCTTTTATAAAAATATGGGGATGGGATTGAAAGATAGATCCTTGTTTCTTGAGTGCTTGAAACAAGGTAGCAACTAGAATTAGGAGTAAGGGATCAATCAGTTCATGATTTGAACACATCCTGGGTGCATATACTTTGAAAGCTACTTTCACACATATCTTTCAGAAAATCTCATAAGATCAAGATAGATTAATAGCAACTTTACCAGAGTCCTGAGGCTTCTGGTATTTAGCTAGATTTTTAAAACCCTGTACACTAAGGTAAAGAATAGTTCTAGAGATTAGAGAAGACAGAATGTTACTTAGGGAAAGGGATCTTTGAGTAACAGAGATTTTAGAGACTGTATAGCACACTAGTCCTCCATGGACTTCCAGATCATATCCTTAAGGGTATGATCTTTCACTCTGTGATTTTTTTCCTCAACTGTAAATTTTTAGTTGTTAAATTGTGTCAAAAATGGGTTATAATAAGTTTGTAATCACTTTTACAAATACTAGAGAAATTGTAGTAAAACGTTTATTATTGAGATTATAGTATCTTGAATTTATCCTTGAATTATACATTTTCTCTTAATGAATATGTTTCACTTTCAGAGTAAGAAAGTATAGCATTAGATGTTATATGTTCATTTTTCTTTACCACCTGCCCTTAGAGTTTTCTTATCCTTATTTTGGTCAGAGATCTTTTAATAAATAAAATATGTAAATCTGATACTATAAAGATGCACATGAGCATTTTCATATAAAATTCAGAAGGGATCACATATTTATAATGCCAATCATAAGGATGCCAGGAGTATAAGCTTCTAGATGTAAGTCCCTATTCTGTACTTGATTCTATGACAGATGGTTTGATTTTCAAATAGCTGACTTCTGGATGACAGATATTGTAGGAGAGAAAACAAATGCTTCTGCTCTGTGACTTTCCAACAGAACAGATTTGATGATCATTTAACATCACTGAATTCTCTCTACTATTAAGCTGGGATCATGATATCCTCTTCACAAACTACAGCACAGGCATTATTTAGATGTTTTATGAATCTAGAGGCATAGTCTTAGTTAAAGTAAAATAATTGTAGCCGGTACTCTTCCTCTAATTTACTACTAATTTCCATTTAAGCATTATCTTCAAAAGATATGTTTTCCTTTTTAATTGTCGGACTATTTCTACATACTTGTGGAACACAATGATAATACAATACATGCAGACAGGGTGCTGTGATCTAGTCAGCATAATCAGGATCCTTGTCTCCTTTCTGCACTTGTGATTTCTCTGTGTTTGGAACTCTCGACCTCTCTTCAGTTCTTTGTAGAGAACATAACAGACTGCTGGAGCTTAAAATTACTCTACCATGCTGTAGAGCACTACTTTGAGGTCAGGGGTTTTAGCTTTCAGAGATGTTTGAGAGCATACATTATTTCTTTCTGTGCTTGACTTACTTCACTTCACACATTGTCTTCCAGTTCCATCAATTATGTCACAAATGACAAGATTTTATTTTAGATGGCATTAATATCCTATGTTGTATGTGTATATATGTGACTTATATATTCATCTCCTGATAAAAGTACATATGACACTTTTTAATGTAAATTTTCCACAGTTAAGTGATTATTATGAATAATGCCTAATGAACATGGGAGTGCAGTTATGTCCT